GGACTTTAGACCAGTATCAGATCATAAGGTCAAGAACATTATCAAATCAAATCTTTTTTTTTTTTTAGATAACTCCGTTGGCATTCTGAGGTTATCTGTTTTGAAAAATGGTTCGTCAAGGCGCAATTTGATCAATTGTGAGGACTTTTCGTAAACATTATATTATTACATTTGATTAAATGAGCTCCTTTTATAACGGTGCTACGGAGCTCTGGTGGTAGCATGTCTTGCAACAAATTTGATTACGAGGAATTTGCTAATTTTTTTTATCGTGATTCTGACTTTATTTTACTATTTTAATTTTTCTGATCACCGTAAATTTTCTGGTCTACCATAACTTTGCAATGGTACCATTACTATTGTACTCACCAAGAAGTCGGCGTCACTCTTTTGGGGTAAGTATTTGCGTGCAAGTTGGTATGTCCAAATTTTAAAACTGCTGAATGAAATTGTATGAAACTTCACAAACTTATTTGAGAGCATGATCGGAGGTCACTGTCAAAGGTTCATAACATTATTTTTGACAATATTATGGCCCTTATTAAACTCGGAACAGTCTACATTACCCAGGCTTTTGTTTTACTATCAAGCACTTAGAATAGTCGAGCAATCTGTTATCGACAGCTCTTGTTGGATCATCAGACACACATTACTCTAAATAAAGATCATACTCATAGATTGAAGTGAACACAATTACCATGAAATAACAATGATTTTATGCTTAGATGTTTGGTTTTCTTTAACAGTTTTCTCCTCTTCTATGGTATGTTGCTTGATTATCAAAATTCTCTTTTGACAATTGTCTCATGAAAAACATAAAAAGGCTCAAAATTTGCACACCACCTTCTATTAGTACAATTAATTTTTCAATTTCAGTGATTGGTTTTTTTCTCGATTAGAGCCTAGATAAATTATAAAAATGTCAAATTTGAGGTTCATTGATGATCGCCGTATTTATACATTTGCAGACGTTATAAATCTCGTATGGCCTTTTCCAAACATAACATTTAAGTGATTAAAGTATTCAAAATGTTATACATATTATTGATTATTTTAAAATGTTAAACGAAACAATTTACTCTTCCTATTCAAAAGAAAGTGATTAAAGTTAATTAAAAAAAGAACGATTGAATGTTATAAGATTTTAAAAACACATAGACTATTCTTATTCAAAAGAAAGCGGTTAAAGATAATTAAAAAAAACGGTTGATTGTTATTTGATTGAAAAAAAAGAAGAAAAACAGGAAAAATATTTGAATATCTAATATTAATCAAATAACGGTTTTCATCTATTATTATCATTATTAATATCCCTCAGAAATGCATTTTACTCAAACAGATTTTTTTTATTATTCTATCTTGTATCAGTTTCAAAAAAGAAAAAAGAAAAAGAAAAAAGGAATAAATAAAGAAAAAAAAAGAAAAAAGAAAAGAAAAACGTATTGCTCAGTTGGCATTGGTGATTACAGTGAATTAGTACTTTGTATGGACGTCAAATTACTACTTTGTTTACATGTTGCTACCTCTACGACACATAACTGTTGGTTCAGCGCTACAGTCTTAAATTGATAAAATCGAATATGTTATCAAATAATTATCAAACATTACAAAACAATTATATAGACTTATCTAAAGAATTAAAATGTAATCTTTTTTTAGGCATTATGTGTGCTTTATAATTATGAAAGGTTGGTTTTATATAATCTTACCAGGGACGTCTGGTTTAGTGATACTATTTAATTTATGCAGACAGGTCTTTGTTGTACATTGGGTATTTATAACATTATTACCATATTATGCTAAAATAGCGATATAAATATTTGCACTACATGAAAGTAGATTTAGTATCACACACGAGATTCTCTCAATATACGGTATTAAGTTATAACAAAAACAAAGTGAAGGCATGGTAAACTTGACATTTGACATAGTTTGGCAAACATTTTAATATGATTGTAACCCTAATCGCTGTTATACTTTGATTACTATTTTTGTCATGCACAATTATCGATTTGATTTATTTCTTTATTAACTGACCGTTAAAACAAAGATTTATTTCTTATTGATTTTTCAGACATATCGTTTATGATTGCCCTACATACACATTGTTCATGAAATGAATGAATACAAAACTGTTACTTTCTGCTATTTAGTATCATATTGTTCATGTATAATCTAAATATTGTTTTCTTTTTTTTCTATTTACATTTTGCATATACTTCTATAGACAATTTAAGTAGTTTAAATTATATGAAAAAAAATAGTACTAAGCTCTTATCTTAATTGTTAAATAACATTAAATATTACTTTAAAATATGCATAATTATAATGTACATTTTTCCTAATTATAACGTGACGTAAGTATTATTGCGTTAAAATACCATATGCTGTTAGTGTCCTTTTTACCATAAAATTCATGACATTTTATTTGCCAAACACATGTAGATTTATTTACGTCAATCTATTTTACCACTATGCATATTCAAATTTTCGCCCTAGCTCAAATAATATTTACATTTAAATTATGATAAACGAATTGAATGTAAATACTTTTTGTGCGTTGTCGTATAAAAATGCTTGGTCCTATTTTCAGATGTGCGCAGTATTACTATCAGCTGACATAATAACACTTACATTGTAATGACGACGAATTGAAAATATTTATATGCATTCTAAGTTATGATAAGAAACAACTATTATATAAAATGCATTGAAATACATACATTTTATGTATAGTGGAAAAACATTTTGCCAGATGCAGTTTGGGTTATTAAAGTCATATCTACATGATATATAAACGAAATGACTTCACCATATCTTGCAAACCTTAAATTTCAATGTGTATCATGTCTTGCAATAACAAGCACCTTCTACTTCCGGTCTCTGTACCTTTCTTGTGAGCCTTTTTATGCTTATTTGTATCTTTTTGCGATAATAGGAAGCAGAGTCGTACATATAATATGATATTTGTCACATGTGTGAAAACGTTCCATACTTTTGCATTTTGACAGAGCAAGTTATGTTAAGGCACATTATGCTTCAAAAATCAATATCATTTTTTTCCGATTCTTTAAAAATGTCCGACATGCGTTTATTAATGCTTCAATAATGGATTAAAGAACGTGTAATATGTTTTACAATTGAAGAGTAAGGCTGAATATGCAGTAAAGGTATCAACATGTTGACTGCCATACAAAATACTACTTCACTATAATTATACCAATTGCCAGCATGTCGAAATCAGCAAAAGATAGTTTATGCATATGCCAAATGAGTATCTTTTTAAAAAAAAAAACTGTAACTAGTTACCAAAAATTAAAAAAAAAACTTTTTGAGAAATAAAAATGAATGTATTCGGAGGCATAATTGTTCTTTAATTAAGTGAATAGCATATGATCCATATTAAAACAATAAATCTACTTAAACTATCCGTCCGAAACTATAATTCAGTTGCTTTGTATGTGTTGATATTGTATTAAGACCAATGACTATGATAGCAATACAAAAATATTGTCTCAAAGAGAAGAAAGGTTCTAAATATATTTAAGCATTCTGTTCAATCCTTTTTTTTGTATTTCATTGTATTTCATTGTATTTACATTGTGTATTTATGTAAGATTGAAATTGAAATGAAATATTGTTTTAAGTATAAAAAGAGTGACCGAACACTTGAAATGTCACTACTTTAAACACTTTTTTCAATTATAAACATTTTATTTACATGATAATTGACAAATAATAAATTGTACGGATTGAGTAGGAAGCCTAGAAAGCCTTTTAGAAACTCCCTCCGTAAGCACTATCTCAAAAAGTATGAAAAATGGTAAAGAATGATATGTGCATTTTGTGATAAATGTACATAGCATTTTCAATATAAACTTGCTTCTTTACATGTACGAAAATGTTAGCAATTTGCACTCTGGTTGTCCATATCGAACCGATCTAAGTAATTAAGCATATACATAAAAAAGTAAAGGAAAAACCCTATAGCTGTGTAGCATAAATACACGTAATTGAGAAATGTCATTTACAAGTTACTGTTTATAAAAGTTTATTAAACTCCCACACTGTTTTTTTTTTGGCATGACAGGACATGAAATAATTTAGAGATATTTAAATATCATTTGGTGTATATATATATACCACTAACTTGTCCGCTACAGCTCAGGCCCGGTGTTCACAAAGATTTCAGGATCAGGATCAAATTTAAAAACTCAAATATTCCCCCTTATTTATCCTCATATATTAAAAATTCAGTGTAAACTTGCTAAATCTGGACTTGAAATAGCATATTGATGATATTTAAGAATAAAGTTAATGTTATTTTTACAAGATATGAGCATTTTAAGTTGATCTTGATCCTAAAATTGATCCTCATTTTGATCCAATTATTTTTGCATTAGTTTTGTTATTTGTTTATTTTATCCCAAAATAGGTTGGTTTCTTTGCAAATAAGCAATTACTTATACATGTATTTCAAATATATACCATTTAATTCTAGCATGATACGATCATTATAAGTTTTATGAAACAATGAATATAAAATCAGTAACATCTGAACCTGATCTTTTCTTTGTGAACAAGGGGCCTGTCATTCGTTTTTTTAGTTTCAGATTTATCAGTTTTCTAGCGCAGTAAGAAATAATAATGAATGTGTTTTTTTAAGTTTTTTTTTATTCATATATCGATTTTCATTTTAAATTTTGAGTCTTTTTTTAAAAATTAATTAATTCATTCATTCGTTTACGTTTTTGTTTATTAATTTTTTATTGATGTGTGTGCGTGTGCGCGCGCGTATTTTTTAGTGTCCTAGTTGATTTATATTTAATTATCTTACTTTAAATTTTTAAGCATTTCAACCTCAGTGCAGTTCCTTTACATTTATTTTAAAGGTGTATCATAATTGTTCAAAACACGTTATGTTTTATGCATAAAATAGAATTATAATTAAATAACTCGTCTACAGCCCACTAATATTGTATACACTTCGTCACTTTTTGGTGTAATACTTCAGCCAAGCAGAAAAGGCTTTAAAAGTGAAATACCCTATAATACTTCTATATCTATCTACCATAGGATTAAAGGTTGTTTTGACCGAAAATTTGACATTTGTTAAATTAATTATTAAAAGTTTTATGCGATTAAGGTAGCCAAGGAAATATCCAAAAGCTGCAGGTAATATCAAAGTTTGTTTTTATGTTTAATGCGTGATCTAGTCTTTTACAACGTTTACATTTAAAAAAATCATTTTGTTAATTATATTTTATTATATTAGTATCGATTAGCGAATACAACACAAATGTCTTATATATATATATATATTGTTTCCCTTTACAAAAAGGTAATGCGGATAAAATTTAAAAAAAAATTATGATATTTTTTAATGTAACTATGATTTCTGGTATTTGTTAATTCAATTATTCTTTCCACATGGACTCTTCGAAAAAATGAGGAAAGCCTAAGAACTTAATTCATTCTTTTAACTTGAAAACCTGAAAATGATTAGCGTCTGCCACCAGTAAGGTTTGCCATTGTCTCCAGTATTGAGGCAAGCCGGCCTGCACACCCATGCAGTCTGACCAGGTTCTATACTGTTGGTAGCTCAAGTTTAGTATTTCAATTTAGATATCTCCTAGACATTGCACATTGCACGAAATGTTCTTTTATATTTTAATGTACTACTTAAATCTTGTTGAAGCTAACGTCCTGTGAAAAAAAGTTGTTAGAAAAAATAAGGGGATGAGTGGAGGTTGGATCTCTTCGCTCTATGATAACGTTTTCAAATATGTTCACGTTTTGGACAAATAACTTCGGCCGAATTACAATAAAAAGAATAATTTTAACATTTAAAATCATATTTAAATCACTTGTTTGAAGAACTACATTTTAAAATTGATCTTAAAATATTGCTGGTGTGCCAAATTCTGCACCTTATTTCTTGCATATTGAAAAAATGAGTAAAAGTAGTATTTAACTTGTTTGCGGTTTTCAGATAAAAATTTTGATTTTGTTTCTTTTAGAGAGATTATATGCTTACAATAGCAAGTGACAAAGAGCTTTAAGAAATTACCAAAAAATAGGGATTAACCATTTTAGTGTTTGAGTTATCTCCCCCTGAAAATAGGATGTTTGCTCTTTTCGGCCAAAATCAATCGATTCACACTTATTAATTTTACTTGCATTACTTTTAAGATCGATCCATTTCATCAACTTTTGTCGTTTTCAATCTTTAACTAACGACATAAAAATGCACTAAACCATAACCATTTAAATTAATACACCGATTTCCTTTAGAGGGTATACACGCCATATTTGGGGAAAGTTTAAATAATACGCAATATCGGGCATTAAGTAGGACTGTTTTTGAACTACAAGCGTGAACGAATGCCGTAAAATTGTATAAAAGACATTGACAAGCAAAGACACACACACCTGTATCAAAATAGGTAGAAACGTGAATGTGTAGTGAAATGTATCATTTCTATTCTAATAATTTCATACAGATTCTAATTTCTTCATATTAACATTGAAATTCTTCCAAAATGTACAATAAATTTAGGAAGGCCTGTCTTTATTTCATATGTAGTTTAAAGTTATTGCTCCAGAAGGCCTACCGCTATCTCATCTGTCATACTGTTGTTGTTGTTGTTGTTTTAATAACCAAAGAGTTTTTGTCCAATCAAGAGCAGCATCGTTCACCATCTGGTATTTTCATTGTATGACTTGTGCAAGCACGTTAGGTTAAGCACTTTTTTATACAAAAGGGGGTTCTGGTATGTTGCTATGCCTAACAATAAGGGAATGAATGTCAAGAAAAATTAAAAATCTTAGTTTAGTGTTGTTATATCATTTTGTCTACATATATGATTCAAAATGTAATATTTATGAGACTTTAAGTTTACCTGATTAGGTATTAAGGTAGTTCTGGCCCCTAATGAAAACTTGATGTATTCTATTTTATACACGTAAAGACGGAAAAATTAAAAGTGACACAGAGAATAATTTTAAAACTTGCATGATTAAAGAGTATCATAATGGAAACAAATTGTTGACTAAAATAGGGATTAACCGTCTTAGTGTTTGAGCTATCTCCCATCTGAAAGTAAGATGTTTCCTCTTTTTGGTCAAAATCAATCGTTCAAAACCTGTGATTTCCATTAATTAATTTTCATTTCATTACTTGTACGATCGCTCCCCTTCAACAACTTTTGTCATTTTCAATCTTTAACTAACGACATACAAAAAGCGCTATAGCATAACCTGTAAAATGATAAATCGATTTCCTTTAGAGGGCATACACGCCATATTTGGAAAGTTTAAATAATACGCAATATATGACATTAAGTAGAACAGTATTTGAACTACACTTAAAATTGTATAAAAGACCTTGACGAGTAAAGTCACACACCTGTATTAATATAGGTAATTCCTTTAGAGGACATAAAGGCCATATTTGGAAAGTTTAAATAATACGCACTATCGGACATTTGAAAAGTACAACAGTATTTGAACTACAAGCGTACAATTGTATAAAAGACCTAGACAAGCAAAGAAATGCACCTGTTTAAAATAGGTATAAACACGTGAATGTGTAGTGAAACATATTATTTCAATTAGGATTTTAATAATTCCGCACAGTTTCTAATCTTGTGATCTTCACATTAACATTTAAGTTCGTCCAAAATATGCAAACTAACTTTAAAGGATGCCGGTTTTTTTACCTAGCGTTGCTGACTACAAATCTAGTTAAACGTTATTGCTCCAGAATGCGTACCCTATCTTAACTGTCGGACTGATGTTATTGTTGTTGTTGTCGTCATCTAAATCACCAAAGGGTTTTTGTCCAATCATGATCAGCACTCGTTGACCATCTGATGTTTTCATTATTTGTCTTGTACAGATGAAAGTCAGGCTGAGGTTGGTCACGTTTTGTATCCAAAAAGTTTTTTTTGGTCTGGTTGCTATGCGTATTTCAAGATTTATATGAAAAAGGAAAAAAAATCTACATGTACTATTCTTTCTTTGTTTAGATCATAAAACTAGGTTTTCAAATATATATTTTTTTCAATTCTAAACGATTCCATGTCAGAATTTCTAAATATATCTAATAGGTTATTTAGTCTGAGTGTCGAGTAAAAACCTTCTTCCTAGTTGAAATCGTTTTGTATGCAATAAACAACTATAGCGCTTGGATGAATTTGAATTGATATTACCAGTTATATAAACAGTTTTTTCACTCTACTTCCTTTACAGGATATTAAATTCAAATTAAGCGTTTTTTTAAAACCATTTTATGTAAATTTTGTCACATCATACCAATTATTTATGTATTTTTACACAGCGATTTCTTACAGATAAAATCATTACATGAGTTGAAAACGTTTTAGGACAGACTACTGTATAATTTAATTTTCCCATACACTAACATTACAAGAAATGACCACTAAACCAAACTTAAAATTGAATATTCATGCTAAAGATGTATTTTTTTCTAGAAGAATGACATGCCATGCCATCACATGACACATTAAATTGATCTTGTTATATAGGGGTGTCCGACCAAATCTTTCGCAAAATGCGCCCAAAGATGATTACCCCCCCCCCCTTTTACTGGAATATTCTGCTGATCACGGCACTGACATATATTTTTTAAAAATGCAAATATCCATATGAAAAATATCCTAGACACTTATGAAAAGATCATTTTCATAACAATTCAGTGTCAGTTTCTAAAATAATTTTCATACTTGTAAACATTACATTTTCATCCAATCACTTGATGTCCCATTGCATCTTACGGTTTTCCCTGCACTTTTTGCAGCCAATCGCAGGCCAGGTACAATACAGTAACCTGACCATAAGGCTTATCGTTCGCGCTTACTTTAAAAACACATTATGCCTCAGAAATAAGTAATTTTTAATTCTTGCGAAAAGGCAAACATGAATTTTAAAATGTTTGAATAATGGTTTTAGAGAATGTTAGATGTTTGTTATCTGAAGAGAGTAGCGATAAATGTGGAATAATTTGTCATAAATGTAGCAAAATATAAACAAGGTACTATTTTGACTTCCATGCAGAATGCTTATTCCCTAAACAGTACTTATTACAAAAACAGCAACAGATGAAAAGGATGGTCCAGGTTATTGACCAATGAGTAACTTTTTGGTGGACACTATAAAATTAAAAAGTTTTGAGAAATAAAAATAAACAAAAGCATTTATGAGGCATAATGGGCTTTATCCCAGAAAATACACGATGTATTATGTTATGTTATGTTATGTTATGTTATGTTATGTTATGTCATGTTATGTTATGTTATGTTATGTTATGTTATGTTATGTTATGTTATGTTATAATACAAAGTCCAGTACTTCATTATATGATACATGTTTTATATAATATGGTATTGGTTATCTAGTATCTCGAAGTTTCAGTTTTCAGTATTAAGACCTAACGATTTTTTTAATCCTTTGCTAAATCATGATACAAATTTAATCATAAATGCAAACCGCCTTTTTTGTTACGGGGGTCACTTATCAGAAGGTATAGCAACTGATTTAACCATCATATTTTTTCTGAAGAATAATGTTCCATCCCCCCTTTGTCGTTGCCATGAAATTACAACAACTTACCACTATTTCTGTAACGGTCAAAGATTTGATGACATTAGACAAAGCCTGTTAAATACAATTTAAATAATATCACTTTCGTTAGAAATCAACTTATTTAGAATAAAAACAAAATCAAATGTAGCAAAAGATACCATATTTTCTGCAGTTATTAGATATATCAAACTCAATGAGCAAGAGGAACATAACTTATGGTATACCGCTGTCTTTTAACTTAAAAAGTCGTTATCTCCAAAACCAGCCTACCTTATTTCTTATACATGTTCCTTTCTTAAAAGGCACATCATGTCTCAGAAAAACCATATTTTTTCAATTCTTTAGAAATGCCAGCATGTGTCTAATAATGTTTAAATAATGGTTTAAGTGCATAAGTGCATTTTAGACGCTTAACAACTGAAAAAGGAGAGCTGAACATGCATTTATGTGTCGTAAGGGTAGCAAAATGTAAACAAAGTAGTATTTCGTGTTCCATACAAACTACTTTTTCATTAAAGATGCAACAGATATTTCATGTATATAGCAAATGAGTATGTTTAAGAAACTGTTACAAGATACCAAAAATAAACAGGTTCTGACTAACAAAAATTGTTGCAAGCATAATTAACTAAATAACAATATTTCATTCCTTTCATCTTATATCTTATATATATAAGCACATTTTCAAGAAATATTTCATATATTGATAAAAACAATAGAAAAATATTATTTGGGTATTCTTACAAAATATTTCTTGAACAAAAAATGTTTATCTAGTTCTACATGATTTAATCACATGACATCTATATGATAAATTACTAAAGTTTTGTTCTAGAACATTATATATGTTTACATCCACATAATTCTTTCATGGTTTATTATCACATATAATTCTTAATACTATAATAAAACATATTTGTGGTCGTGCATGCTTTCTATCGTAGACCAATCTACTTTAAATTTCCTTTTCTGTTTGCAATTCAAATGTACAAGCAACTGATGCAACAACGATACATGTATATAAAACTCATCTTTTGAAGTGTATTGTTTTGAGTACTTTTGAGAAATTGTAACTGGACAAGTGTCCATATGCTTGCCCTTCTCCGCCATGAGTTCGAATCCCATTATAGACTTATGATTCTTCGGTGGTTCTACACAATTTCCCGTATGTGCAATGAGGAACACCAGAAAACTCGTTTCATTAGTAACGGCGGAAAGTGTTGTTGTTACGTTTTAATGTCCTAAAAGGCTAAAACTAATTGGGACTTAGCATGTCCTTATTAGAAGTTTTAGAGAAATTAAATTCGTAATTGGTCTTTGTTTAGAAATATAATTAGAAGTTACATAGTTCCTCTGAAGCTCCTCTTTAGTCCTAATTAAGATTTTAAAACTTCAAATTATATTTTTATTTACCCTAGTTAGGCCTTAAAACTCCTTATTAAGACTTACAAAGTTGTAATTAGATTTATTCTGCTAATTATGAGTAAAATTATGTAAAGAAAAGTGACCGTGCGACCACGTACAAGCATCACAGTTAGGAGGAAGGGACAAAGAGTTGTCCATCCGTTTATTAAAAGACAGACTTTAAAAATATGCTATTTCCTCATTGCTATTGATATGGAAGTTCAAATATACACAACAATATTAACGCAAACCAAGCGGATCTCAGTTTTAGTTCTTTCAGTTAGCTATAAAAAATTTAAAAGTATCATATAGTTATAATTTCATGGAAAATTTTGAGTTTACAGATTTTTCACCGTTTCATTTAATGTATATAATAGAATTTTTTTTGCAGATCATGAACGTTTCAAAAACGTTTTATATGCTTAAATATGGAAGATAAATTCAATTTTCAAAGGATCTTCAGTTTCAAATATCCCTTAAAGTGTATAAAGCTATATATCTGCTGCAAAACTATAATTTGGATTAAAAAAAGAATACTTCTAAAATGCTTGTATGAAATAAACATGGAAGATAATTGCCTTAAAAACGAAAGACGCATGCACAAAATCATTGCCAAACGGATAAAACCCTACTCAAAATTCTGTTTATACGTACATTATTAACGTGTGTTAGATAACAGAGATATTCTATGTTACAACTTTTTCGGGTGTTAAGCAACTTATGATGGAACCAATATAATTTTACTGTTGATAGATTTTATAAAAATATTTCATAGATATAGATTTATACTTTATACCATTTAAAATGTAGTAACGCTTTACATATTGTAAGTATTGCTTGTTATGCTCTATATCCTCTACGAACTGAGGACAGGAACAAAATACTTAAGATTGTGAATATATTTAAAAAAAGAAAAACAAAACAAACCCCCCCCCCCAAAAAAAAAAAAAAACAACAAAAAAAAACAACAACAACATTTCTATCTCAAATATCGCCAACGCTCATCTTTTTTATTTCCGTATTTGTTTGTATAATTTACCTTACCACCAGGCAAGGATATTTGTTAACACAAGACTTTAATTGCAGATGTCCCAGAAGGAGAAGAATGGCCATGCCAATGGTGTGATGGTTGTGAAGAGTAACTCCAATGGTCAACTAAATTTAACCGATGGAAAAACTGAAATGAAGAAAAGTGTTGGATTATTTTCTGGGACGGCACTTATCGTAGGAACTATGATTGGTAAGCCTCTATGTGTATGTTGAACATATCTACTTTTCAGATTAATCATTTTAGTCGCGCCATGACAAAATCAATATAGTGCGTTTGCGACCAGCATGGATCAAGACAAGCCTGCGCATCCGCGAAGTCTGATCAGGATCCATGCTGTTCGCCTACAAACCCTATTACAAGTAGAGAAACTGATAGCGAACAGTAATTATTTCCCAAGATAAAAGTTCCTGTATAGAAAACGTCATTTTTTTAAAACAACATACTAAGAAATTATAAGTGACATCAGTTTTACATTGATACTTCGATTATATTGTTCTTCCTGATTTCATAAATTTACACAAGTACTGAAAAATAGTCTTCAAACAGCCAAATATAAATTAGGTAAATACGTTTTGTATATGGCATCTATGATCAGTTTCGTTATATAATATTTTTTTTGAAAAGGGTTGAGCTACGGTGGCACAAAGGTGACATGTGTGTGTGTTTTTATTTATCTCGTGGCCACTAGATACTATGTCGTGGCCACGAGTTATACTAAGTCGTGACCACGAGATAGCTAAGTCGTGGCCACGAGTTACTAAGTCGTGGCCACGAGATAAATAACCAATCAGATTACACCATTTATATGAATTTCCCTAATTAACTAGACATGTGCTATATTACAAGGATATCCCTACTTCAACAGCCTGTAAAAGTGCTATTTACAAAACTTATTGACTGGTCAATAATTTTACATTTAGCGTCACTTTGACCCTAATTTTTGGCCCAATGACCTCGAAATTATTAGATGTCAACTACTGATCAGGTGCAATGATTTCTTTGCGTTATAAAAACTATGGCTTATCCGTTCTAAATTATTCATCAGACAAGGATTTTACCTTATAGGCTATCTGCTGTCCATGGGCAATGTCCCTTCCAAATAAAACAAGAAAAGCATTGATGCAAAGCATCAAAGGGCGTCCAAGCAAGAAATGCAGCAAGTGAAGATGAACTAGTACACATATGATGACAAGATATTCTTATAAACTACCAGAAATGTATACCACTTATGAATGAGCGGACGAAAGACATTGTTCATTATGAACTTTGATTAGCATGCTAGAGATTAGAATATTATACAAATATGGACTTTTTAGCTGTTGAATATGATGTGATATGTAAAAATTAATATTGACCGAGGCGATTGTTATTTCTTTATGATCGTGGTTATTAATAGCAACGGATATACAGAAAGAAGAAGAAGAAAAATTTATTTATTATAGTGACTTGCGATACATGTATATAGTACAAACAAATATAAAACAATTACAGAACAAATAAATCGCCCGGCCCCATGGACCTATAAGTCACTGTTTATAGAAAAACGTCAGTTATTTAAACATAGACAATCGAGTTGAATTAACGTCTAATGAATATATATATATATATGAATGGTATTAATATGTTTAAAACATAACACCTGCCTAAACTTATCATTATAGTGTATATAGTTCGATGATAAGCTTTCATGAAAATCCTGTGAGGTCGAATAGGTAAAACATATAATTACACTTCAGTATTTTTATAAATGATAGTCCGTCTATGTAAATAAGCTTTCACTCAGTATTTTTGCAATCTTTCTAACATGGTTTGAAAACAAGAAGATTTATTTGTCATGGACACACAAATCCATAAATACATTATCATTTAATAATTCATCAAATGACTGCGATCATATCTCATTATATTTTGGACAATTAAGCAAGAAATGGATTTCGTTTTCTACATAGCCTACAAAGTCTACCATTAAACGGTTTTCCAATCGACTCTAAGTGGAAGAATCCCGCATCTAAATTGTGCTATAATGGATCGTTCATATTTAAACAAATTAAATACAACATAGTCCTCTGGGTTAAAATTGCATTTAAATAATTTGTAAGTATACATGTATGCAATCATTTATAATCCATATGTGTAACGCATGATCAACACGTACCACACATTTGTCCCTTATTATGTACATGTTATCGCTATTAGCGAAGACCCCCTTAAGGTATCTGTTCACACTTTAAGTTAGTAAAAATATGACACTGGTTATATTACCATGTTGATCATGTTGAGCATAATTGTTTATTATACAATAATTGTAATATCTATTAATTTTAATTAAAAAAAATACAAATTTTATGAATATTGTTTTCTTTTATTCTTTTTTTGTGTTTTATGTGCTATTTTAATACTGAGTTTTTACTACTCTTTTTTATTAAAATTGTAAAATAAATTTTAAGAATTCAATTGTCATATTGACCGACGATTATAAGTCAAAGCTTAACTGGAAAAAGTCAGTAAATTATGGTTTATCTTTCAATATATAATATTGTTTATTCTTAAACCATGTACATGTACATTGTATTTTTCTTTATCATTTTTTAAATTATCGATCAATTGAATAATTCATAAAATCTAATTTGTAACTTTGAATAATTCCTCGGCATCTTTACTAAACAAATTGAATAATTAAATAAAATGTTTCAAAGTTGATAATGTCATTTTAATACCATAAAAAATGTACCTTTTTCTCAATTATTGTACATATCACGAATTTATATTACATATAAATCCGTGTACATATTTATTGTTTTTATCTCATATAGATAAAATGAAACATGCTATTGTTGTTTTTTTCTAATTGTAACGATATCAAACATCTACTCCAAAACCGGGAGAGACCGGACAATAAACGTGTGGTACTATTCGCCGGTCACTAGTAAATCCTGGTCAAAATAGACCGGGAGAGACCGGCATTTACCGATAGGAGTGATAATAAATAGGTTTTTGGAATATTTAGGTCATCAACTGATCATTCTAGGATACATGTACAACAATAACATACCATGACATGATAACCGACTGTGTACTACAAAATGATAAATAAAAAAACCCCGAAGAGCGCGATTTATTGACGGAAAAGGTTATTTCATTTGTAAATGTTTGCATTGCGAAAATTCATTGTAACATATCGCGACATTTCATTCTTATTTAATAATCAAGCACCCTCATACCGATCGGAATTTTCGGCTTTTATTATGACCGACTAAAAGGCTCGAGAAGTTGCTGTCGCCCTTTCACAAAATCTGATCTCATTCCATAAGAGCGCCGCGCTTCGGCGCGGACGCCAATAAACCAGGACTTATTTCTTCTCATGTTATCGTATAAACTAGATTAACAGGTGCAGTACGTACAAACTGACTAATTCGATCACAAAATTGTCCCAACAAATAGCTATAGTCAAAATTAATGTCTGATTACGGTGGCAGAAAGGTGACATGTGTGTGTTTTTATTTATCTCGTGGCAACGAGATACTATGTCGTGGCCACGAGTTACTATGTTACCGGAATTGTAATAAAATTATTACAAAACTGGTTAGGATGCAAAAATATTATTACATTTAGGTTGTCAACCTGAATTGTAATAAAACCCGAAAATGTAATAAACGGTCAAAACTCAAGAAAATGTGGTAAGAAAAGTTTCTTTCACACACATGGTGTTTAAAAAACGAATTTGGACTCGTCAAAAGAAAACTCTCATAACTGGTTGCATTTCGAGATCTTATATTAATTCAGGTGAACAAAATTGTAATACTGTTGTCGCAATTTATCCGGTTTTGTAATAAATAATAAAATTGCAACAACTGATTTTTACTGTTACTCCTACATTACACTTTATATCAAACTTTATATCAAAAACATATATAATTATTTAAAAAAGGCAACTTTCAAAAAGGTTTAAAAAATTACATTTCCAGTTTTACAATTTATGTTGTCAAACCTATTTCAATAACTTTAGGCAGGTCAATCGGGTTTGTATTAAATTGTACATTATCCTTTATATCAAACAATTAAAATTACTAGATGTTTAATGTTTACCGTTATTGTTGATCAATAGATGGCTTGGTCATCATTTCTTCCGTGTTAAACAATTACTTCAGAAAATGGCAACTATCAAAAAGGTTATTACATTTATAGTCTGTATTACAATTTAGGTTGTCAACCCTATTGCAATAACTTTTTGGCAGTTCAACCGTTTATTCATTTTTTTATGAAAATTGTTACACTTGACTTTTACTGTTACTCCTACATTTTCATTTATATCAAACAATCAACATTTGTTACAACTGATGTTTAACGTTATTTTTATTAGTAGTTGGTTTGTCCATCGGTTCTTTCTTTTTCGTTGTTGTTGTTGTTAAAGAAGTATTTAAGAAAAAGACAACTTTCAGAAAGCTAATTACATTTTGAGTTTTATTACATTGCAGGTTGTCAACTTAATTGTAATAACTTGTTGGCAGTTCAACCGGTTTTGTAATAACTTTTCTATACACCAAGCAAGCAAAATTTCTTTATTGCTTTTATATCGTTAGTAAAGATGATCTTCAAAAAATATATTATTTGGTGGAAAATGAAAATGCTACGTATCAGAGTTTGTTACATTTCACGATGTCATTACGCTTCAGATTGTTTTTAAGATACTATATGGACAATTCTTCTGGAATTGTATTAAGATTGTTACATTTGAATGAACTTTATCCTTCCCTTATATTATATCCTTCATATTATCAATAAATTAACATTAATGTGACCTTAAAAATCAATTTCTCTATGGTATCGTAGGAATAAAAGTGCGTATTTTAACGCACAGAAAGTATTGCATGTCAAGCACTTTAAAGAATGCAGGTTGTCATCAACTTTATGATTTCATTTCTGCTCTTCAAATTTGAAATGTATTTTCTTTGAGTTTAAATTCGCTTCCATGTAAGTTTTATAAAAATTCCGATGTCGAGTCCAAATATTCGTTTTTTTAAAAGAGACTTTTTCTTACTACATTTTCTTGAGTTTTGGCCGTTTATTACATTTTCGGGTTTTATTACAATTCAGGTTGACAGCCTTAATGTAATAATATTTTTGCATCCTAACCAGTTTTGTAATAATTTTATTACAATTCAGGTTTTATTACAATTCAGGTTGTAACACACCTTTGAATGTGCGTGGTATACACGTATACAAAACTTTTTTAAGCTCACCTGAGCTTACTCAGGGTGAGCTTTTAGGATTGTTGAATGTCCGTCGTCTGTCGTCTGTCGTCCGTCACACTTGTTCGTTAACTCTAGCGGTCACATTTTTGCCTCAATCATCATCAAACTTTGTTAGGATGCTTGTTTAGTTTATAGCTCGAATGAGTTCGAACATGGGTCACCTCGGATGAAAAACTAGGTCACAGGAGCTAAAAATAGAAAAAACCTTGTTAACACTCTAGCGGTCATATTTTTGCCTCAATCATCATCAAACTTGGTCAGAATGCTTGTCTAGGTGATAGCTCGGCTAAGTTTGAACATGTGTCATCTCAGATGAAAAACTAGGTCACAGGAGCTAAAAATAGAAAAACCTTGTTAACACTCTAGCGGTCACATTTTTGCCTCAATCATCATCAAACATGGTCAGGATGCTTGTCTAGGTCATTGCTCGGTTGAGTTCGAACATGGGTTATCTCGGATGAAAAACTAGGTCTCTGGAGCTAAAAATAGAAAATCTTATTAACACTCTAGTGGCTACTGTTTTGATCCAAATATCCTGTAAATTGGTCTGAAAGTTTGTTTTGATGATTTCGAGGTCAAGTTCGAACATGGGTCATCTCGGATGAAAAAAAATAGATCACACCGCCCAAATATGGAAAAAACCTTGTTAACACTCTAGTGGTCACATTTTTGACTCGCCTGTCATGAAACTTGGTCAGAATGCTTGTCTAGGTAATTGTTCGGATGAGTTCGATTGGTCAGATGAGCGATTTAGGGGCCATCATGGCTCTCTTGTTATTATTCCATAAAAAATCATGAAACTGAACCGTGCAGAACAATGTTATGTTTGTAAAAACTACAAATAATTGTATAACATATGATAAAGAAACCTTTACAAGATTCGTATGAAATGTAAATAGCACTCGTTTATCATCGCACGATTACAAATACTTGAACAATGCACGCCTCCTCCACAACGTCTGAATGTCACGACATTTCAGTCAAATAAAGATGTGACCAGATCGCATTCTGCCAATACTGAAATGTCAAGCTGTTGTCTAAAGTCTAGGTCATGTCATATTTTAGCCTTGTCCGCAAGTTAGAAACTTAATTAAAGTGAAATTAAGTTTATATAAAGATTAAACCATTCGAAAGTGAAGATCATATACTGAAAGAACTAAATGTCAAACTTTGGATGATATCTAGGGCATTATTTTAATCTTGTCCGCAAGTTAGAAACATAATTAAAGTGAATTTGAGTTTATATATACATTAAACCATTCAATAGTCAAGATCGCATACTGACAGTACTAAAAAAGGTCAAGCTTTGGATGCTATGTAGGGCACTTATTTCAGCAGAAACTTAAGTGAAATGGTCCGTAATGGAATGGCTGTCTATACTATAAATAAACATGTATATAACATTTTTTATCATACATAACAACACGCAACAAAATATATAATTAATAATGCTGTTGGTAATTGTTGGATACATGATCCGATTTTACAAATCTATAAAGCAAATAATAAACTGTTCTAGAACATGATATTATTCATCACATTAATGTTCAAACTTAATCACTTAGAACACTATAAACAATTTCTTTTGTTTCTAGAAATATCTAATAATTGTATTCAAACGATACATTTCTATTGTTTTTAGCTATATTTGGAATAGTGTGCCGATTGTAGACCAATCCACTTTGATAGGTGTCATGCTGTAATGAAACTACGTGCGTACATGCGGTCGTAAGGCATTGTTGGAGCACAACGTGCATATGTTAAACACGCGGTCCCTATAGTTAAGAGTGGGGGGGGGGGGGCTTTTCTGTAACTATTAATTATTAGTAATGAATTACTTAACAGCTCGAATTACGCATATCAATATGGTTGTTACTAAATTTTCTCAATCAAGGATTCATAGCCCTTACATGCTTTTGGAACTTTACTGATGCAAATTTGCAATATTAATATATAATACTTCTGGTGATATTCAATTTTTATGAATTATAATTGAAGGGCTCTTTCCATGGCCTATATCTGTGGCAATTTTGAAGGGAATATGATACTTTTATTAACTTACGAATTCTTTTGTCAGTATCCAATACATTTTGCTAATAAATATGCCAGGTACCTAAAATGAAACCTTCTTTTTTGTTATCCCTACATTGACCTGGTTATTGGATTACGAAGAGTCATAGCCTTTCACGGGATAAGACAAACGGATTTATCCGAATGTCTTTGAACTTGTAAAAATATCCGCATAAAAATAGATATAAAAAGGACACATATATCAGATTTTATCTGTATATTTCCTTTCTTAAAATTTATTACTATCTCCACGGTAATATGAACTATGTAAATGTACATCTAATACTACGACGGGCTATAATTATGTGATATTATTCATAATTCGGTTGGTGTAATATCAATTTGGTAATGTTAGTTACTGTTAACATACTAGTAGGTATAATTTAAATGTTTTTAGATCATATATGTCAAGCGATCATAGTTCACATATATATGAAAAAACTTCAGTTACCTCGGCTCGATAAGATGTTATTGTTTGTTTCCTTGACTCGATAAGACGTTATTGTTTGTTACATTCGCTCGAAAAAGATGTTATTGCTTGTTACCTCGGCCCAATCAAGATGTTATTGTTTGTTACCTCGGCTCGATCAAGATGTTATTGTTTGTTACCTCGGCTCGATCAAGACGTTATTGTTTTACCTCGGCTCAATCAAGACTTTATTGTTTGTTGCTTCGGCTCGATCAAGGCATTACTTCCTGTTTCCTCGGTTCGATCAAGATGTTTAAGTTTGTTACTTCGGCTCGATCAAGACTTTATTGTTTGTTACCTTGGTTCGATCAAGATGTTTTAGTTTGTTACTTCGGCTCTATCAGGACTTTATATTTTGTTACCTCGGCTCAATCAAGGCGTTATTGTCTGTTTCCTCGGCTCGATCATGACGTTATTGCCTGTTACCTGGGCTCGATCAAGATGTTTTAGTTTGTTACTTCGGCTCAATCTAGACTTTATTGTTTGTTACCTTTGTTCGACGAAGATGTTGGTACCATAGACGACTCTGTTTCATCTATATCTTACATTTACAGACACAGTTATTTTATGTTCCAGTTGCCAATACATGCATTTGCGTTATGATTTTAGTTTCAGTCCTTATACGTTGTAAACCATTCGATTTTTTTGTTATTTAAGGTTCTGGAATATTCATTTCTCCTAAAGGTGTACTTGAAGGGACGGGGTCGGTTGCTTTTAGCCTTATAATTTGGGTAGCATGTGGACTCGTATCTATGCTAGGTAAGTAAATGACGAATTGTTTTATCTAAATAAAACAATAAATATAAAAACATGGATATATAAAAATATACTCTAACTTAAAGATATACTATGCTCATCCTTGAGAAAAATATTTTAACAACAGACATTTATTGAAATCTATGAAATTTTTACTGAATATGTCTAATTGTAATGACAGTTCCCTATTCAGGTCAAGTTAAGTTGGTCTTTTCTTTTAAAAAAGTACCAGCTTTTTAATAACACAATATATCCATACTGTGACCAACTATTATATATAGAGTTTAAAACATAACATATCTACTTTGTTTGAAGTCAAAACATGTTTATTTTATATTTAAAAAAGGACTGTGTAGTCATTATCAATATTTTTTAATATCAAATTTAAGCATAGTACATCTTTAAGAAATGAAAGTGTTATGTTCAAGTTTCAATTTGGGTACAATTAGAGAAACACTACGAAAACAACATGCCTCAATTCTTTGGATACAAAGGATGTGGGCATAAAAACCTGAATGAAGTTGTAATTTTATTTAGTTTAGTATTGAGTAAAATCAGTTGTTTTTTTTAAATATTTTTTTTCGACAGGTGCTCTGGTTTTTGGTATTGAGTAAAATCAGTTATGTTTTTTTCGACAGGTGCTCTGGCGTATGCAGAGTTAGGTACATGTGTTCCTAGATCCGGTGGAGAACACGCATACCTTATGTACACGTTCGGGAGCGGCAAAAGACGTTTTGGTACAGTTGTCGCATTCATGTTTGATTGGGTACACTATTAGGTTTTGTACTTGCGTGGATTATTTGACTTAATTAGAACAACTTTTATTTGTGACAAAGCCAAATTAATTATCAAACATATGATTTTTTTTTCATTTCTACAAAGTCTGTTTCCGAACACTACTATTTAATTTGTCCTCTTCATGGAGAGACACTTTTAACGTATTTATTTGTAATTTTCCAATGGATATGTTTTCGTGTAAATGTGATCAGTTTCTCGAGTGTGTAAATAATTATATCTTTGCAAACTAACAAACTAACTTTAACAGTCTTACATTTTATTTCGCACACAATAAGAACATAAAGACAAACAATGATTGTGAGGGATAACCAAGAAATACACGGAGTTAACCCTCAAATAATGTTATACGGAAAATTCTAAAAATTATATTTGAAACATTGAACTTTATGTAAAAAAAAACATAATAATTTGTATAATAATTAGATAGATAATTATCATATTAACAAAGTTCAAGTATCTCTAGGTCATCCCTCGTATATCTGCAATATTAAGGTAAACAAAACGAAAATAATATTTCGTTAAATTTATAAAAGTTTAAGATTTTCTTATGTTTACTGACATACTTTTTAAAGTATACATGCTTTACATTTATTATACCAGGTTGGGATGTTAATCATTCGGCCCATCCAGTTTAGCGTGATGACGTTGTCTTTAGGAACATATATTGCTAAGCCGTTCTTTCCTAATTGTACAGACCCGCCTCTATATGTTGTAAAAATGTTTACAGTCCTGGCCATGTGTGAGTATTCCATATTGTGATTTATTTTAGTATGTCCTTCAAATCTGTCTTATCAAAATATAAAAAACACGATCAACAAGGAAAGGACGGCATTTAATGAACGCATCCCCCAACACAGGACCGCCAGAAAAGGAGCTCAGCAGGACACCAAACAAAACAAGGGAACAAGGGCAAACCTAGGATGGGATGTCACCACAAATAATTAAAGCTATTAAAATGTAGAAATAGTTTAAGAGTCATTGTAATGTATAGATTGTATCTTTTGACTCATTTTCTTTTTAAAATTATTATTAAATGAGCTCCACTTGTACCCTTACACTTAAAATTTGAAAATCATACGTACATCAAGTGAATCACTTAAAATAGAAAAAAAATCTTCACAGGATAATTTTAATCACAATTAAATTTGCGATTCTTAGCCAAGGTTGAGTGAAAAGCGTGCAACGCTTTTTTACTTTGGGAAATTTTTGTACAATAGAAATGACTACTGTGGAAAAACGAAGAGAGTAAATAAATTTTCACACAGACCTTCCTCAAATGGTACAGTGTACACACAAATCTCGGGAAAAATATTTTAAGTCCTGTTATGTCAAAATTCGTCAGTGGAGTCCCCTTTATTGAATGGATTTTCATGCGGTAATTATTTTATAACGTAAATACATATGCAAACAGAGTTAAGATTAAGATAACTTTAACGAAAACTATTAAGGGCAAGGATCTATAATTTAAATGATTGAGGTATTTTATTAAAAATCATTTTGATAGGTCGTAATTTTGTGTCTGTTTAGTTGAATGCAGTGTTTTCAGAAGATTTTTCATCAATATTTAAATATTTGTATTGCGTATTTTAAGTGCAGATATTGCATAACAAATACAATTTCTTTTATTTGTATACCCGGATATAACATAATGACATAGATGAAGTTTTGTAGACAGGCATTCATAAAAGTTGAATTATATCATATAGTCATTCAAATACATATCATAATTTTATGGTTCTATACAAAACGTCGAAGAAAATCTAAAATATTTAATGTTTGAAAATCATAAAGATCACTAAAAATAAAGGAACGAGTAAAATCTATTTTAAACTAACAGTGTGGGAGTGGGATATTTACCTATGAAATATATGCTTTTATTTAAGCGAATCTAAACCATCGTATTTGACGAGAAACTAGCACAACATCTTTGTAGCTTGTTTTCTAACTGTAATAGAATTTTTAGTCGCATGTATCAAAGTGCCATTTTTTAAACAAATTACTATAGATCATATATCTGAATAGTCTGGTTTTGTGTACATATTTTTTATAAACGTTTTGTTGCAGTGTTATTAGCGGCGGTGAATATCCACAGTGTGAAACTGGCCACCAATCTTCAGAATGTTACCACGGTTACAAAACTTATAGCTATTTGTATCATCACTTTGGGAGGTCTTGTCAAGATTTGCTCAGGTACATATATGAACTTATTAAAACTAATATTGTATGAATAGAGGGATGATCAAACATTAACCGGACTTTTGTAGATGATTCTTTATTCCCCTTAATTTACTAGCTGTAGAATCTGGCCCCTGTTCACTAAGGAATATTCCCCTTCATTCAATGTAGAATCTGGCTCCTGTTCACTAACAAAAGATCAGGATCGGGATCAAATGATCCTGTTTATATTTTAATTGTTTTATAAAACTAAAATTGATCGTACTTTTCTAGAAACAAATGGTACATAAAACAAAATTTTAAAAAAAATGCTGTGTGCACAAGGGCAAGCCTATTTCGGGATATTATCGACAAATAACAAAACAAATACAAAAAATGTAAGGATCAATTTGAGATCAGGATCAACGTTTGGATTTACTGTAAAATGCCTATACCTTGTTAAATGACGATCAATTTATTCTAAAACTTGCCATTACTCCAATTTTATCAACTAAATATTGAATATTATTTCATTGATGATAAACAATGCAGACTATTTGAGCTTTTAAATTTGATTCTGATCTTGATCCTGATCTGTAGTGAATCGAGGCCATTTATACAAGGTTAATACAAGGAATATACTTTCATCTATATTGAGAACTTCTTCCTTGTTAAAGTGATTGATAGGTAATTGCGTCATATCAGATTGCTTTTTATATCATTTATCTCGTTCGAATTTTTGATTTCAGTTTTTGTATTGAAAAATGTATTTCAATGAATAGGTAATTTGGTAAGATATCAATGGATCAAATGATATATAACTGTAATGAATCGAAATATTTAAGGCAAAGCACATACCTACAAATGTAGAAATAAAGTGCTTAAATTGGACCAAATCATTTCCCTTTTTGCAGTCATTGGGTTTTATCAAAATCGATTAATAAGCTTACTGAGTCCTATTGAGAGAACCATTTAAATGTAAGGGAAAATATTATAAGCTTTATTTGTACAGAAAGGCAACGTTAAACCATAAAGTTTAAAATTGTAATTGAATGTAAGTGTAATTGATTTACAGTGTTAATCGGTTCTTTTTAAAGGAGATACAGAAAATATAACTTCCGGCTTTGATGACACGAGGAAGGACCCATCTCTCATAGCAATTGCATTTTACAATGGTCTTTGGGCATACGACGGATGGTATGGGTCTAATTACTACGTCAAAATGTTTGAATAATTGTTTATCCAATTTCGATATTAAAGTAAAAACCATTAATATATCCTTCAATGTTTATGCATGGTATGAAGTAAGTCTGATTGAACAATTTTTTCATCAAAGAGAATTATGTTAGGGAACTGAATATAAGATTGGTGATAATAGAAACATTTAACATTTCATTTCAGGAACAACCTAAACTTCATTACTGAAGAGTTAAAGGAACCTGAAAAGTAAGAAATTCCAGAACATTTTAAAGTATCACATTAATACTGAGCAACAAAGTTCGAGAAACAGAAAAAATAAATAAAGTAATTTTATATGAGTTTTTTTCAAGTGCTTTCCAGTTCGTTGGTTTAAATTGTAAAACTTGTTTTTGACATTTAACGATACGAATCACAAACCAAATTTTATTTTTTGAGCCTGTTTTGATGTAAAACCACAATGAACCAAATGAATTGTGACAATATTATCATTGGAAATATACCTGGGTTACAGTACCATATAAATAATAGAAAAAACCAAAAGGGCATCTGATTCTCCATGTCATCCAATACATGTACTTCTTGCAACATTTTCATCAGATCGCAAACAAGCATAGGCCAATAATGTCTTCATTGATGTAATTGAACGCCTTTTGTTCTGAAAAAGAGCAAAACTTTAATATATATTATTTAACATATATTATTTTAAATGCTCTATTTTTGGGTAAGGTCTATATTATTTTTACCCTTGCTATCTATTTTTAGAAATTTGCCGCGCAGTATCCTAATCGGAATACCTCTCACAACGATTGCATATTTCCTTGCCAATGTTGGCTATTTTGCTGTAATGTCAAAGGAGGAGGTCTTATTATCTCACGCTGTGGCAGTGGTAAATATATTTAAACCATTTAATAATGTGTGTTTTTTTTCATGGTTGTATTGCTAAGTAATTCTTGTAAAGATATTGTAGGCAAAATGCGTGTTATTAATAAATAAAATTACATCATTGTAAAGACTCTGCTCTGTACGTTAAATAATTAAAAAGTTAAAACATTACTCTGTATCAACAGTACAGCAGTTGTGACTGTTTAAAAATATATGCTATGGAACATCCTATGAAACACATAAAGACTTTGGTATGTAACTCGTTTTTGAAAAGACATCTGAGATGATTCACAAGTGTATTAAGTAGAAAAAATGAAAACCGTATAAACGTACAGAACTACAAGCTTACTTCTTACTGTTCCATTTAGACCTGGTCCTCCTACATGCTTGGTGTGATGTCATGGGTGATGCCAGTGTTTGTAGTGTTATCGTGTCTTGGATCAGCAAATGGTAGTTTGTTTGCTACTGGACGGTATGTAACGTAATGTTTATGTTTACTTTTTTACGATTTAACTCTTTACTCTTATTCTTCTGCATGTTTTTGAACACAATTTTCTGATACAAATTAATGCAACCTCTTTGAGTCAGCTTAACCTCTTTGAGTCAATTTTATCTCTTTGAGTCACTTTGTACTCGTTGAGACACTTTAAACTCTTTGAGTAACTCAGTATTGATAAAATTAGTTCACAAATCCTCATTAAAACATATTATATCAGTACCAGAAAGGCTACATTTTTTATTGTAGGTTGTGTTTTGCAGCTGCACGTGATAATCATTTTCCGAAGATCTTATCATTCATTCAAGTCAAAAGATTAACGCCTATGGCGTCAATTTTATTCACAGTAAGTTGAATGAAATTAAGTTTTAAAAAGCTTTTAAGAAATCATAATAATTATATAATTAAACATTTTTTATTCGTGTTATATTTTCATCATTTGATTTAGAAACAAGGGCAATACTCCAATTTATGATTGATCTCAGGTTTTTGCATCTAAGTCATTTAACCATACAAAAACAAAAAAGTATTTCCATTTTTTCCATGATACTTTATACAATACTTTTCGTTTGTCATTTTCATGACTCGGCATCGGTGACATGAAATTCAGATTTCTAATAAGTGGACACTACTTTTCTGTTTTACATATTGTCCAAAGTTTCCTGAATAGTCATGTAATTGATTTACTATATACGTATTTATGTATTTAAATCATATTATTATACATTTTGGTGTTTAATGGTTTGTACAGAATTTATTTTGTCCAAATATGTTAGGAAAATGCGTTTATCTTATAAACATAATCTCAATCCGTTCCTGAAGCCAACCTTTACTAAGCAATGAGTTACAAGTTTCTTGTTGCTGTTGTAAACAACGGCTTGTCCTTAATAGGGGATTTTATGCCACTTACACGGGTTTTAATATGACCCTAACAGGGTTGTTTTTTGCCACTAATAAGGTTTTATAATGCCCCTAATAAGGCTTTTTTATGCCCCTTATATAGTTTTACTATGCCTTTATAGGGTTTTTATTATGCCCGTAATAGAGTTTTATTATGCCCCTTATGTGGTTTTATTTTGCACCTTATAGGGTTTTATCATCTACAAGAATAACCTTCTTTTGTTTGATTATTTTAGGTTATTATTTCCATGATAACATTAATACCTGGAGATATCAGTACCCTGATTGACTTCTATAGTTTTTGTATATGGATTGCGTACGGAACGACCGTTGCTTCCTTGCTAGTGTTAAGGTACACGGAACCGAAGCTAAACAGACCTTACAAGGTGACTATCTTTCTCACTACTATGATGTGCCATTATTAATGTTTTCTCATTGAACAAAAAATTCGAGTCTGCAATGTTTTTTTCTTCTTTTATTTTCGTTATTCATTACTTCTTAAATTACATTTATCTATGTAACAGATATAGATAAAAGTTCAGATTATAACTTTCGTTTTGGTAATTTTTTCATTTCTTAGATTTGATACTAATGTCTTTCTACGTTTACTTTTTTCACAGGTTCCACTGTTTATACCTATATTTGTGTTGATAATGTCAATATACCTCGTTGTGTCTCCAATCATACAAACCGGCAGAATCACTTTCTTCTACGCCATCTTGTTTGTGTTCTCCGGGTTGTTTGTCTATATTCCGTTTATTTACTATAATTTCAAAGTGCCCTTTCTTGGTAAGTATAAGTTATTCTACTTTCCAGTATATCATTGCGGTGCTTATTTGTGATATTTTCAGAGCGTATATTGTGATCATTCTTACTGAGATAATTGCTTTTTCGCGTTAACATATTTACAGGTAACGTTAACTTTAGAATCTTTAACATAATTTTGGTAATTTCCAAGACTGTAAATAAAGGATATATGAAAGCTTGAACAGATATGTTACATGCTTTTCAGTTATAATATTCATTCAATGTGAAAATAAAAAAATGTCATCTTTATTCACACGTTCATTATACAAAAAATTGACATTATAGATATATGCGTTTTTTCTGCGATACATTTGTAATTATTTTAACAGACACCCCTTTATGAATATTTTCTTCATTTTCAGATGTATTTTACCGACGTTTACAGATTTTATTTCAATTAGTACCTCCTCAGTTGACTTGAGCGGACAAGGGCAATGTCTGACCAATCTTATTGGTCTTTTATAAAATGTTGTTTATTTAAGAAACAAAATGTGATATACAATTGTGATTAACGTACAATTATTTGCTTTTTTATACCCTATAACTCTGTTATGTATTAGTTATATCGTTTTTATAAATGCATGGCAAGTAAGATTACAATCAACAAGTTTTACATTTCTATATTATCTTTTACTCATTTTTTTATTCAAATAAACATAAGGCAGGATGTTTATTTGTAAACATATGACTTTTTTTACTTTGATGTACTTTTCATACTGTTTGCATCTGTTTCTGGCTTTCTTTTGTTTTCTTGCCTTCGTCTGATTATTACATGTAATTATTATTATTATTCAATATCAATGCTATGTAGTAAGTTCACAGACATAATTATATGAATACCTTGCTTTTGAAATGGCCATAATCTGCAAGGAAGCATTCTAGGCTTGCATTCAATTTGATGATTTTAAACGTAGCCTAACAAGGTGCGCGACAATGTATTTCTTACCGCAGAATCGGCTTGCAAATTCTTGGATGTAAACTCTCAAATAATTTACACTATGGAATGAAAAATTAAAGAAATACAGCATATAAGATATACAAAAGGAAATGTTCAACAAAAAGTTAAGCGCAGTAAAATGACAAGATTTGTATGAGAACAAATAAAGTGTTGACTAATAAGGAGTAATTTATTCACAGCAAATAAATTTTAACTTACGAGGTTTGACATCTATAAGGACATCAAGACTTTGTGTTTCTTTTTGGAATGTGTACGGTTTGTACTAGCAAACAAATTGTCACATTTTCATTTAAAGGTAGACACAACTACAGTATAGTTGTCTTTCATACATTTAAATTCAGCGTTTTTATGGCGGGCATTAGAATATTAATTTTATAACTATACATGTATTTGTTTATATCTGGCTTACATTAACATGTTTTGTTTACTTTTAATGTTTTCTTGCATCTCAGACAGGATTATCTACCGTTTACACCGGTGCTTACACCCCCCATGTAAGACAAGTCGCGTGCATTAAATGACGTCATTGACGCGCGCCTTTTATGAATGAATCGCGTTCTTAGGATGACGTCATTTTTCCGTTATGAATGAAGTTGTATGTTCATACGCTACTATGAGAAAAAAGTGCGTAATGAGAATATCAGTTTGCATAATTTCTGTTCCGAAAATAATTGACATGTAATATGCAAGAAAAAGAATCAAACACTGGCTGTTGGTACAGACCGGAATATCTAGCTTGAGGGTAACTGTTTACAGCGGTAACGAGGCTCTAATTCAGCGTTTTTATGGCGGGCATTAGAATATTAATTTTATAACTATACATGTATTTGTTTATATGCGGCTTACATTAACATGTTTTGTTTACTTTTAATGTTATCTATCCCACAAGTAATTTATGTACAATTTCTTCTGTAAAGATCAACTCTTTTTATATAAAAAGCTAGAACAACCTTTTATGATAATCATTTTAAATGCTTATGTTTATACATGAAATAGATAAAATTATATGTAACAAATTTGTCTTGTGTTATTTATTTTTACTGAAAGTATTTTACTGTTGTCTTGCAAAAGTGAACAAGCACTGTTTTACATATACTTTGATATATACAATAAAACTTTGACTAGGAGTTTAAAGGAGCCTTGTCGAAGTCAAAACACCTTAAAATGTTTAATTGTAACATAGATTGATTATTATTTGCACTTATTTGCACATGCTTATAACGAAATATACTCATAATCAATAAAAAGTATATTTTTTGTGTGATTCCTGGCTTGATTTTCCGGTCATCTTGCACAATAAAACGATGATTCAAAATAAGGATGAGGGAATGATCTCCAAATTTGCACAAAAGTTATTTGTCTAGATCTACATCAAGTGGTGCATAAATATTCGAAAAATATTTTCAGTCCTGTCGGGTCAAAACAAACCCCAGTTTCACACTTCAGTCATTTATTTTAAGATGTAAAAATTGTACATGCATTGTATTGTACCTAATTAATCACTTGCACATTGTTCGTTTGATGTGTAGTCAATGTTTGTAGACAACATACTATGTAAAAAGAACTTTTTAAAACAAATGAGCCGCGCCATGACAAAACAAACATAATGGGTTAAAAAATAGACGATACATCTTAATGCATGCCTGATGTAATGTAATTTACTGAAGTGAAATTACATTAATTTTTCAAACTACATAAAATCTGCTTTCATACACATTTTCATTTAATTTGCATACTGTTTTAGTGTATAACATAGATTTATTCTAAATGATGATGAGTTGTGTGACAAATATGTTTTGATAATACATCTAGCTAAATATCAAGAAAATATACACCCTTAAAGCACATCAAAATATGTAAGTGTCTTGAAAAATATATTTTACATCAGGCATGCATTAAGATGTATCGTCTATATATATCAAACGCCGTAGTATTTAATGTGACATATTGCACAAGCGCATCTCGAAACACATCAAACTTTTCACTGTCTTAATAAACAGACTAACCCAATTTTCATTATGTCTACAGTTACTGTTGCAGCGTTACTGTAGTTTTCAGAAAAAATTTATTACATACTAAGTGGATCATGATTATCATAATTATGCTATGCCTTTCCTTGATGAAAACAAATGAATCTAAACCATTCTTTTTCAGTGTGCTGTTCATTTTTCATTTTCTTATTTTTTATTATATTAATTTGCTGCGTGTAATGGCCAATCAGAGCCCATTATTGATAACCCCGCCTCTGCTGCTGATAAGCCCGCCTCTGCCTAGCCTCTGCATGTATGTTTATATTTCAACGTATCTGTATGAATGCAATGAAGCTAAATTAAACCATCCCGTTTTGGGTCTGATATATACAAGTGTGACACATTACCCAGAGTTTAAACAAAGAAGCGTAATACAAAAGACATTGCATTGTATTTTAAAATATCAATATGAAATTACCAAGTTCAACTTTTTTATCATATTCACTTTTATGAATTGCGCAACATATTCAATAAAATCAATTTCTGGACCACTTTTATGTTTATAATAATTTAGTTTATGCTTTCACCATTAATTTTCTCAAGGCTGCATGTATTTATGAGAAATTCGTCTGAAATTCAGGTTACTTGTGGGAGAGGGGGGACTTCATTTAAACTTGTTTTTAAACATAAGATAAAAAGAAAATTTATTTGTTTGTTGTGTACGCCACGACTGATAATCCTATTTTTGAAGTTCACTAGATAAAATAAAATTTCAATTTACGCAAAAACAAACAAATATCCTCTTATATCATTTGTGGTATCTCGCCAATATTCATATGTCATAAAATATTTGTCATTCTTTTCATTGCTATATTTGAAAGATATCAGGTCATCGATATGACAAAATCTTTGCACTCGTTTTCAACTGCATGTTTTCAACGAAAAATGCACGCACGTTTGGATCTATAAACATATTATCAAAAGATACTATTTACAAAATCCAGTAATAACTAGTAATAACAAGATTTGTCTTGAGCAACAAAAAATAAAAATAAACACTCAAATTCTTATCAATAAGTAGTTAAATATTGATAGTATTGCTACATGCATAGAATAAAAAAGAATATATATATCACATTTAATCGTTGTAAATAAAGCTAATTCATATTGTTTCTATGTATACTAAAGGTAAGTAGTGATATAAATTTACCAAGTAATTTATCAAGTGGTTGCATCATTTTAACAAAGTGTGTGAGTACTTACATACGGAGTTAAACATCAAATACACGGTAAGTCTTTGTAGTTCTTGCATTTTCTTTATGTTCCATAGATACATATATAAACTTATTTAAATATATTGTTACTTAATCATAACTGATTTAATCTCAATTATGGTAATAATTAGATGGAGTTTTCGCTTATGAATTATTTGAGATTGTTGCCGCCCAAAATACACATTCAACATAAATTTGTGATTTCTGCGAATTAATAAAAATGCTTTTAATGCAAACAACCACAACAACAGCAACAAGAACAACAACAACATCATCATCAACAACAATAATAATAATAATATTAATAATAATAATGATAAAAAATTAATAGTGCAATGATATACAATATGTAGTTCATGGATTCAAGATAGATAGATAGATATAATTTATTGACGTATACATATTTGTACATAGTCATAATGCAAAACACGTAATACATAAATCATAAGTCATGGTACGATCATATTGAAAACAAACATTGTTGAACAAAAGTATATATGGAGAATGTTCTTAAAATCCATATTTAAACAATACAAAGTTGGCATTACTCTTATTAAAAAGTTGCAAAAATGACTTACATATATTTAATATGTAGTGAATCAACGATTAAAAATACATGATAAATACCATACTGTCGCTTTTTAATGAGCAAAATTATCATGCGCATACTGGTAAAAATAGTTTTTTAATGGTAATATTAATAAGGTCATATAGACGCTTAGTAGCAAAGTGTATGTATTTAGCAAGTCCAATTAATTCGGATTTATTTTTTGACTTCAAAACCTGCAAAAATTTAAACATACTCGGCCGTCTGTAAAAATATGGCTTATTGAACTTCCTACGTAATGCAGTATAACAATTGCAAATGATAATAAAATGAAATTCATCCTCAATTTCTTGAAGATTACATAATTCACATTTTCTTTCAGAACGTGGATTTCTATTAGGACCATACCTCTCTGCCTCTATCTTTAATTTATGAGAAGATAATCTAATACGAGATAAATTTTGTCTGTAGGATTTAATAAATAAATTATCAAGATAAAATGTAGGTTCAAATTTGTCAATCAAAAGTACATACAGATTAGACAAAAGTGGACTAGACTGAATGTCTGCATTTACCTTTTGTATAAAACAATCAACTAATCTACGTTTGAATATTTCAACAAACTCTTTTGGGCTGTATTGCAATGGGTTGAGCCATACATCTGTGAATCCATATTCATTTAAAATAGAATGAACCTTAGCTGCCCAGGAGTTATAACCATTATCATGAAGACTTATTGATGAATAAAAAGCAGACTTTAAGATATTATTATTTGAATGAAGAATATGTAACAAGAATCTTATTATTTGAACATATCTTTGAACATAAAGAGGATATCGGCCTAACTCCGAATAAACTGCTGCAGTACATGTACTGTGTTTTACGCCTAACAATGACTTGCAAAATTTCAAGTGAATCCTTTCTATATCCTTAGATTTTGTAAAACCCCATATTGCACAAGAATAATTTAATGTTGAGGAAACAAATGCATCAAAGAGTTGGAGTGAACGGAAGGGGTCACATCATATTTGTTAATATTACGAAGTAAAACATTTTGGGCTTTCATAGCTTTTCCTATAGCATACTGATTATGAAGTTGAAAAGACCCCGTATAATTAAAGACTACACCCAAATAGTTGAAGTTATCAAGTATAAGCGCGCAGTCAACACCTAATTAATTGAAGAAACTGTATAGTACTGTTTGATTTTGTGTTAAAGGATAATTTAGATTATTTGTTGGGAACCCGTGGACTTGCGCAGTGAGTTACTTTTTGTCAGTTATTTATAGCCGGGGTAGGAATACAAATTATGCAATTTGAAATTGAAAAAAGGAATGATGTCACTGAAACTAAATAAACAAAAGATTATCACTATGTTTTTCAATAATTAGTAGATTTTTTTCTCAAGATATTACTGTGAAGCTATATGTCGCAAACTTCATGGAAGGTAAGAACAACGTAAAAAGTATTCAAATGTAGGTATTTACCGTTTAATAATGTAATGATTTGTTGCAATATATCAAACTATTGACAACATATGATTGTTGGTTGGTTTAATGTAATACCACATCAACATATCATGTACAGTCCTACAAGACAATAAATGACCATATTAGGTCCAAACTGGAGTGAAAACAACATTTTAACTTATAAATTTCAACATTTTAACTTATAAATTTCTATATGTAACTCATAACTATATATATCAATAACTCAAAATATCATGCAAAATTAAGATGCAAAGTCAGCAATCAACAAATAAACATGAAAATTTGAAAACACCTACATAAATAATATCACAATAAATAAGCAAGCACATTACATGACATCAAAAAGACATAAATGTATACACACATGTCAAAACACTCAGTATGCATTCAATAATGACATGATCACCATGCAAATCAATACATGTAGGGTGGGCCAAAGTGACGAAATTGAAAGTCAAAACGATGAATGACACGTGTCTGACAAAACTATGCCGATTGCGCACACTGTCGGATATTTGAAGCCGATGTAAGAGAACAAATTATGCAGCAACTGAGACGGTTGATCCTGGAAAAGGACTGACGTCAATGATACAAAAACTAACCCTAGAAAGTCACTGTGTCTTTCCATAATAAAATGATGTTTTTGCTCAAGAAAATGCTCTTAATTATGTCATTCCATAATAATATGTTGTGCAAGAATACAACGACTAAATAACACTCATCAGTAACATGGTGTCATAAA